GATGGGAGTAATGTGAGAAGATTTCTTTGAAAAAGTGAGAACCCTAGCTGCAGAGTAAAAAGTGAGAACCCTAGCTGCAGATTTCTGGATATATTGGAGCTTATTTAATGTTGTGTTTGGTAGACCATAGAAAAGAGAATTACAGTAGTCAAGTCGAGAAGGCATGAACCAGTGTCTCAGCATCATTGATATTTAAGAAGGGACGTAAGCGAGCGATATTACTGAGGTGAAAGAAGGCAGATTTAGTGAGTGAAGAAATGTGAGGTAGGAAGGAGAGAGAGGAGTCAAAGATTATGCCCAGGTTTTTAACGGTGGTGGAAGGTCGAACCAAGATCCCAGCAATGTTAACATTGTCAGCACAGAAAGGAGCAACATTTTTTGGTGAACCGACAAGTAGTAGATCTGTTTTATCAGTGTTGAGTTTGAGAAAGTTACTGGTCATCCAAGCATTTATATCATTAATACAAGCTGATATGGAGTTGGTGGGAAAGGGAGAGTTGTGTTGAGAACTGATATAGAGTTGGGTGTCGTCTGCATAGCAGTGGAAGTTGAAGCCATGATGACGGATAATGTTACCTAAAGGGAGCATATAGATGATGAAGAGTAAAGGCCCAAGAACAGAACCCCAAGGAACACCGTGAGAGACAGGAGCAGTAGAGGACTTAGCCTGGTGGACAGCAATGTAATGCTGATGGTCAGACAGGTAAGAAGTGAAACAAGATAGGGCAGTTCCAGAAATACCAAGAACAGAGAGTCGTGAGATGAGAATACTGTGAGAGATAATGTCAAAAGCAGAGGAAAGATCTAACAGAATTAAAATGCTAATGGAGCCTGAGTCAATGGCCATAAGGAGGTCATTGACAGCCTTAAGAAGTGCTGTCTCAGTGCTGTGAAGAGTGCGAAAACCGGACTGGAAACATTCATAGAGGTTATGAGATGACAAATATGACTGACGTTGAGCAGCAACAACTTTTTCAAGTAGCTTTGAAAGAAGCGGAAGATTTGAAATTGGTCTCTAATTGGCCATATGGGGACTGCCGCCAGCAGGACCAGTGTCTGAAGCACGTGTGAAACAACTCCAATCCAATTGGTCCACGTAGCCTGTGACGTCACAGGTGGGCACCCGGAAGTATAAGAGGGCACCTGCAGAACACGTCACCAACTTTTGTTGTCTTCGGGAGCCGTCTGTTTGTTCAGCTTGTATGAAGCATTATCCTGGTGAGTCGAGCAGCGCTTTAGGGAATGTGTCTCTCCGTGTTTGGATTCTAACACTTAATGGCATATTCTGACTTTTGCATTACACGAGGAGCATGTGCGTCCAGTGCGTCCAGTACAGTGCGTCCATTGTTATGAGTCACAATGTTAAGGCACCGCTTGCACATGTTCCTATTCCCGAGGAATACAGGACAAAGCGTTAGTGTCTCACGGCTTGGTCCCCCCATTGCCGTGGCATGGTTTATCTCAGTTTGCGGCGACTGCTTTGATATGCGGGATCCACATACCCTGTCTAAACAGGTTGCCTGATGCTGCGGATAGTGTTTGTGTTGTTATGACGATGAAAGTGTGAGAAGTGAGTGGTTTTTAGCCCTGAGCTTGCGAGATTGCGGGCGGAGCTATATTCAGCTTGGCTGCGTGTGTGGAGAGTCTCGTTGAGTGTGGATATATTTAGATGCTCTGTGGAGAGATGCTTGCAAGCTTTCTCTCCCAGGGTGTTTTAGTGACCTAGATCTGGTTTGGGGGTGTCCCCTGAAACAGCTGTTGTGCCACGCCTCACTCAGTTTTCTGCTGCCAATGCTTGAGAGCGTGGTGGCCATGATGTTAATGATGTTGCATCTGTAGTTAGATTGGCCTTCCAGGCTCCTTTGACATATCCGTCAAGGCAGTGGTCTATGAGCTCAGGAACGCATAGGCATGGTCAGCGGCTTTTGGGAGGTTTATTCTTAGCCCTTTTAGGTCCTCTTTACCTCTGAGGGGCCTGGCCCATCATGTTCTAAGGATCATAGTCAGGGCTAGTTAGCCAGCACCCTCCTGATCCTCCCCCTTTCGCGAGTCAAGCACAGGAGATGATACCTTGCTTTCAGGGTATCTTCCAAGCAAGTCATCCCCCTGAATCCCGCATGGTAAGTATGGGTTTTCCCCCCTTTGTTCCCCTCAGACAACCCTGTAGAGAATTGCTCCTGCAGAAACTCCAGAACTGTACCAATTGGGCAGTTGACTGGGTCCTGCAGTCGCTGTCCACACCAGAAAGTGAAAAGCTTCCACTTCAAGGCGTACTGTTTCCTTGTGGCTGGAGCTCTGGACTGGAGTATGTTTTCAACAATCTCAGTTGAGAGACCAGATGCTAGGAGCTGTGCCCCCTCAGGGGCCACGCCCACAGCTTCCACAACTCCGGGCGGGGGTGAAGGATGGTGCCCCCCGCCTGAGAGAGGAGGTCCCTCCTGATCGGAATCTACAGCGGAGAGCCGTCGAGGAGGGACACCAGGTCCGAGAACCATACTCAGGCCGGTCAGAACGGGGCTACTAGCAAAAGACATACCCCGTCCCAGTGTACTCTCTCCAGAACTCCCGGGAGCAGAGCGATCAGGGGAAATGCGTACAGACGAAGCCTCGGGCCACGTCTGCACCATGGGATCCAGCCCCAGCGGAGCTGGATGCGTGAGGGAGAACCAGAGCGGACAGTGTGTCGTTTCCTGCGATGCAAATAGATCCACTTCCGCCTGGCCGAACTCCTTCCAAAGGAGCTCCACCACCTCGGGGTAGAATCTCCATCCCCCGGGCCTCAGCCCCTGTCTCGACAGGATGTCTGCCCCCTGATTGAGATACCCACCCGCCTGAGAGAGGAGGTCCCTCCTGATCGGAATCTCCAGCGGAGAGCCGTCGAGGAGGGACACCAGGTCCGAGAACCATACTCAGGCCGGTCAGAACGGGGCTACTAGCAAAAGACAGACCCCGTCCCAGTGTACTCTCTCCAGAACTCCCGGGAGCAGAGCGATCAGGGGAAATGCGTACAGACGAAGCCTCGGCCACGTCTGCACCATGGGATCCAGCCCCAGCGGAGCTGGATGCGTGAGGGAGAACCAGAGCGGACAGTGTGTCGTTTCCTGCGATGCAAATAGATCCACTTCCGCCTGGCCGAACTCCTTCCAAAGGAGCTCCACCACCTCGGGGTAGAATCTCCATCCCCCGGGCCTCAGCCCCTGTCTCGACAGGATGTCTGCCCCCAGATTGAGGTACCCAGGGATGTAGACTGCTCTTAGTGAGAGGAGCTTCCCCTGAGCCTACAGGAGGATCCGACGCGCCAGCCTGTAAAGGGGGCGCGAATGCAGACCCCCCTGCCGGTTGAGGTAGGAGACCACCGATGTGTTGTCTGTGCGGACAAGCACATGATGCCCCCGTCTCCAGGCAGTTTATGTGCCACGTGAGATGATGGCCTTCCCACAGACCCTGGGCAGAGCGGCCACTCATGACTTCCCCCCAGCCCGTGAGAGAGGCGTCCGTCGTTAGTGTTAGACAAGGAGCCCCCAACATCAGGCCTTGAGCCAGGAACCAACGTTTCTTCTACATGTCCAAGGCACATAAACATCGCCGCGTGACCTTGATCATGCGAAGCGGATTTCCCCTTGGACCATCACTGCCACCTGAAGCCATTTGATAGCGCGGTTCAGAAGACGAAGATCTAAGATTGGATGCAACCCCCATCCTTCTTCGGAACGATGAAGTAACCGCTGTAGAACCCGGACGCTCTCTCAAGAGGAGGAACACGTTCTATGGCCCCCTTCCTCAAGAGAGTGTCTACTTCTTGCTCCATTACCAGAGCCTGCTCGGGGCCCACTAGTGTGGGAATGACCCCGTTGAAACGAGGTGGACGAGAACCGAACTGGATTCTGTAGCCTCTT